CCCCCTCAGCCTTCTCTTCTCCAGGCTGAACAGGCCCAGCTCCCTCAGCCTTTGCTCATAGGGCAGATGTTCCAGGCCCCTGATCATCCTGGTAGCCCTGCGCTGGACTCTCTCCAGCAGCTCCACATCCCTCTTGTACTGGGGAGCCCAGAACTGGACGCAGTACTCCAGATGTGGCCTCACCAGGCAGGAGGATCACCTCCCTTGACCTGCCTTTCTTTTAGACTTTTTTTTTTTAATGGGGTTTGAATTTACTTCAGTAGTTTGCATCTTTAAGTTTGCCACCCCATCCCTTGTTTGTGGGTAAGAAACAGTTCCTTATGGAAATTTCCCTGTTCTCTCCTCTGAAGCATACAGCGTTGCCAGGGAGAGAGACGAGCTCACAGATGTAGGTGCCAGGTCGCTGTGGCAGGAAGCCTTTCAGCCATCTCAGTTCCTCCCAGGTTGATCTCTATGCCTCCTTCCTCCACAYTGAAAGAAGCTCCACTGCCATAGTTTTAGTTTCCTTGTTGAGTTTCCTTTGCTTTTTCTTTGGAGCAGGCAGTCCTGCTCCACTGTGCTTAATGTGAAGGTAATTTTTGGTTAAAATTTGCATTGTTTTAGTTTCAAGGTAAACCAGGGATGTGGACAGGGTTGTATAWACATCTTTTTATGCAGGTATCAAAAATATGCATTACCTACACATACATATGTATTTGAATGTACATAAAAAATAAGGTACTCTTTTTCTCAACCCAACTACAGACATTGGAAATTAGAATTTTATTTCTCATGGATCACAAGCTTCTTCTAATTTTGACCCAAGTGTAACCTAAATTGCTATGGGAAAGGTGCCATTATTTTAAATTAGACTTTGAACTAAGAAGAAAGTAGACCCATTGTATAGGTACCAAAAGTTGCTTTGTATCTTCAGTCCCTCCTACACCTGACTAATAGTCACAGACATAAACTAGTCCCTTCTTCACCTGTCAYATACTAGTCGAGCTCACTGAAGGGCTACAATGAAGAAGAAAGAAAAATGTTTTGTTTTGTATTCTATGCTATTTTCTGTCAACTTTCATAACCTTTAACAAGCCTTTCACACCTTTTTTGTTACAGCCTTTCACACCAATTTTGTTAAAGAATGTAGATAAACTAAATGAAACATCCTCTTATTTAGCAAATGAACCCTAATTTCATATTTGTCAGTTTTTATAACCTTTCAAGAAGACATGTAGATGATACAATAAAGATTATTAGTTTAAATACTCTCTTGAAATCCACACCTAGAAATGCTCAGATCTGTCATCTCTGATACTCCCTAGGCATTTCCTTCTTTATTTTATTCTTTGCAGTGCACCTAATAATGATGTCTCCCCCCTGTATCTGATATATTCTATCTTCATCTATCCAAAAACACATGCTCCTTTTATCTCTCACTTCATTCTTCCAATCTATACTCTTCCCTTTTCCTTGCATTTCCCATTTGCATTCTCCCAAAACAGGAGCTGTCTTACCTCACAACTATAAGCAGAGACATGTCAGACAGATGTCCCAGGAGAATTCAGATAATCTACTCGGGAGGAAAAGATTATGCAGCATGAGCACCATACTACAGAAACAGGTGATGGATACATTATTCCTGAGTTAAAATGCTGCATAATATACAAATCTTTGTTTTATTTATCTATTAATCTTTCATTACAAAACACAGTCATTTGATATGTTTTCATGAGAGCCCAACTTACCTTCCCTGAACTTCCCTGGTGTTCATATACGGGAACACTGAGCCCCAGGTCTTGAAAACTACCTGACCAACTGATCTCACCTTTACTGATCAAAGTGTCTAATACAGTTCTTCAAAACTGTACTCAGTCCTGTCTAGCTGAAAATGGCACCTTCAAATCTCAGCAGCCACATGATTCAGAGCATTCCTGCCACATCAGGCAACACTGACCACCGAGGAGCAAAGCATCTTCCAGTCCCTGTCATCGTCCTGCTAGGTCTGTGTTTACCTTCCAACGTTTTCCATGTGGCATTTTAGAGACCTTACAAAGGTCTCTTTTACATATACAAAGGTCTCTTTYTATAATACAAAGGTATTAGCGAAGCGTTTGCAAAAATATTCTTTGCAGCATGGGCAAAAAAACAGGTCACATATCCTGTCTCTGTAATATTCACGGCATGCATTTTCCTGTGAATTGCTCTTTATCCACAAATGCCCCTAGTGCTTATCACAATGCCCAATCCATACTGTTCTGCTGGTTTTGCCCATAAGGATGTTTTTATACATTCTGATAATGAGCAAAATCCAAACATTCCCTCAAGCTTTGAGGTTCCTCTTCACTAGGGTCCCAAAACTAGCACTGTACTTCCCAGGCTGTTTAGAAGCCATCACTCACTTAAGAACTATCTTGTAACTAATGTGCTATATAGGCAGTCAGAATATCCTGGCATAGTCTCACCATCACCTCACAGTCACATAGTGTGACTGTGAGGAAAATCACTCACTTCACATCTGCTTCCGCTCTTTTCTATGACCTAATCCCAGTTTGTGCCACTATCTTTGTCATATCACCTCTTATTACAGTCCTCTCACTTCCCCTCTGTTTCCCCACACTACAATTCACTTYCTGGATCTTTTCTGATATTCCTCTAGTTTTACCTTCCCAGGCTGTGTTCYTAGCTCTTTGTGTACAAGAGCCAGGTTTTCCTTAGGAAAGCTCTGCTTGTCTGTTTTTCTCCAAGTGTTGTGTCCTGCTCTTTAGGCTGCTCTTCTGTGCAAGCTTGTGTAGGTTTGACAGAACCACCGGTGTTTCATTTCTAGATCATTGTTTCATTTCTAGATCAATTTTTAGAGGGCAACGAATGCAATGTAGAAGTCCTATATGGTATATCTGAAAATTTAAGAGTTAATCGAGTGGGTCATGCACAGGTTGTTCAAGGAAGGAGCCTACATCTTGAAAGGGTTTGAACTGAAAAAATACAAAAYGATATTTGTCTTTTATAATCATGACTGTGCTTACAAAATTTTCTGCAAGATKCAAAGAGTTGTAGAAAGCAAAGGTTTTACCTGCTCCATCCTACTGCTTAGGATTTGCTAAAATATAATTCACTTTAACAGCTGGTCAGATCTGCTGAACAGATCTACAAAATCTGCTATGCAGATTTTTATAGGAGTTGAACAAATGCATCCAAAGAAAAAGCTTGGCCTTTGATTATAAAATGGCAATATTTATATTATTAATTAAAGCCACTACTGCAGTTAGAGTAATAACTGTTTCTCTTTTTGGGTCTTTTGGAAATCATTCTTTCATATATAATTCCTTAAGCAATAACAAATGATTTTTTAAGACTCTGCATCTTGATGTCTTATTCATCAGTAATTTAGGATCAAGGTCTTTTGACCGTGTTTACTTGCATCGAGGTATCTCCTAGAACACCGATGCAGAGCCTGGGTTATGGATGAGCATCTCTAGGAACCACTGGAGTGAGTACAATTCCTCCAATAAGGAGTGAAAAGCCTGTAGAGCCTGGACAGGCAGAGCAGTGGAAGACTGGAGAAATGACTTGCCCATGGGCATCCATCAAGAAGAAGAATCCACTGAGGATAAACAGTCATTTCTCTGTCCAAAGGGTCCTGAATCTAGCAGGCCATTTAATTTGACAGGCAGCTCATTCCCAGCTCATTCCCCTTTTCCTGCAGGCCAAGAAGGCCGGGGTTGTGCTGTACTGAGCCCCATCTTCCCCCTCCCCAGCAGCAGGGCCTATTTCCAGTGAGAAGCCCCTGCCCGGGCAGCAGCGGGAGCCCCAGATTTCCCATGGGATGGCAGCCAGCGAGCGGGTGAGCGGGACAGAGCTGCCCTTGCCGTGTTCCCCAACCATGAAACGAAACACGCAGCCAAAGCCACACAGCAGCGTGCACTGTACCATGCTGCTTAACATCACCAGGTGCTTTTTGTCCTCCATGAAGCTTACGTTGTCAATAAAATTATGATTTAATCTCATGTAACTGAAATACAATCGCAAATAGCCTTAAAAAAAAGAATATTTATTCTAGTTTCCTATTTCCTGATACTGAAATCTTTCAGTTCTTCAAATAGTTGTTTTCCTTCCTCATTGCAAATAGGCTCAAAGTTCTTCTCTGTTTGGTATGAAAAACATTTTATTTTGCCTTCTTCTTCCTTTAAAGGTAGATCTTCAACATTATACTTAGGGAGCGAAGCAAAATATATAGTCAATTATAGTCAGTGGTCATGATAAATTAATTCTGGTCACCTTAAAAAGTGGTTACCTTAAATTAATTCTGATTTTTAAAATTTTATCTCTTGTTGTAGTTAAAGAAGCTTTTTCCTTTTTCCACTGTTCCCCAGCATAGGAACATGTCATGGGACCATATCACATGTTTTGGATTCTATTCTTTTTCTATATTTCCTGATTACCATTTAAATCCCCAGGAAGCTTTACAGCTTAACCCTTAGTTTTATTCCTCTATCAGTATTGAGGATAACTGATGGGAGCAAGCTAATCACTCAGAAAAATACTTCCTGCCCTCAGGGATTCTGCCAATATGAAACTTGGATAGAGGGATGCAATACCCTCTTTGGTGTCTGCAGCTGGTTTTGTAAAATACAGAAGTTGCTGGCTTTGCTCTCTCACTAAATATCTGACTTATTGAGTCACTAAAGGCAGACTAAGGCAGATAAAAACCCCGAAGGAGCTACCCTGAAGTGGTGTGATACTACTAACCATGCTGTAGTAATTCCCTACATTCCTCTCACTCTGCACTGATTCTCACCAAACTTGCTCTTTTCTCACCAAATCTGTGCTTTTTAGAAGCCTGACTGTGACGGGAGCACAAGTGACACAGCTGCTGGGTCTCCTGCTCTTGGCAGCTCTGCAGTTTTGCCTGCACTGCCCAAATGAAACAGGACCAAGGAGCAGCCGTGGGCATTGAGCCATTGACTGTCCCTGTGAGCATGGCCTGGCGTTTCCTCCTGCTTAAAGGCACGACCTGTAGAACAGCACAAGAAGACAGCACAGAGAAGCCTGCCCCAGTTTTGACTGTCTTTGCCATATGGTGATATCCAACATTGTGTCACCAGGCATCACACTGAGACACCTCCGTGTGCCAAACCTCAAGGCACGATACATGCTCTGTGGCTACAAAACCATCACTGCTCCAACATGCTTCTTCATACGGAAACAGAATCATTATGGTTGGAAAAGACCTCCAGGCAGATCCAATCTAACCATTTAGATCTCTCTTGTGTCCAATTTGGCCGTACAAATGACCTGCAGAAATAAGAACTTCTATGTGATTTTAATCCCAGACGAGCACCTTGATATGCAGATAACATCAGGTCTATATCACATGCATGTCCGTGCCGAAAAATTCCAAAGGGATTGCCTAGCCCCATTATAAAGAAAGGAATGACTTCACTTCTTGCTGAAAGGGACTCAAGTTGACAGACACTGGTGGTCTGCAGAAATACATGAAATTTTATGACCATAAAGATTCAGAAGGGGAAGCATGAATTGCCTCAGTCACATGGAATATCAAGAATATTGGGTCACTAGAATGGAATTTAGCCTGTGGGCTAGTAATGTCACTCTGGCACCCAGTAACCAGAAATCATCAAGGGACAGTATGTTCGTTTTGTGCCTCCTTGGAAAGAGGTCAAGTTTTCCAGCATGACAGAGAATGGACCCCCGAGATGGCGTAAAAGTAACGGTACCATCTCTTGAAATATAAACCAATGTATCAAGAGGCTCCTAGCTATTTCTTTATAACCCTCTGTCCATCTCTGAGTGTCCCAGGCCAGTTAATAAAATGATAGTAGATGGCAAAATCAATGAACGAATAAGGACTGAGGGGTGACAGTGTGGGACAGGCTGCCCAAGGAGGCTGTGGAGTCTCCTTCTCTGGAGATCTTCCAAACCTGCCTGGATGCCACCCTGTGCCCCGTGCTCTGGGTGTCCCTGCTGGAGCAGGGGGTTGGACTAGATGATCTCTAGGGATCCCTTCCAACCTCAGCCATGCTGTGATTCTGTGATCTGGAAGAGAGACACGTCAAGCCAGAGGACCCTGAAGGAGAGGTACTGCACTTAGGCGACGGCACCAGGCTGTTGGGAGAAGACCCCCAGAGAACATAGAAGCTAATTAGACCCTTGGAAGCTCAAACATATACTGAAAAAATACATTCTTACATAATTATGTATTACAGCTTGTGTGTCTGGGATCTTTTTTTATTTTTTTCATTTAAATTTTTTATTTAAAGCACTGAAGACTATAGATTTTTTTTGAGTCACACTGCATTTAACTTTTTTTTTCCCATGAAACCACCTCCAGAACAAAGAGGATTACAGCATCTTCACTGAAGCACTGCACAACACGTTGTAATGTATATAAAACAGGATTTTCTGAGTAACCACTTCCACTCAAATGATAAGGTCGCTATTTTTTTCATTGTACAACATTTTCTATTTAAAATATCCTCTATGTACATAAATGCTCTTTCTTCATTGTTTGAACTGTAAGGAAATGTATCAAAAAACCTTTGGACATAGGTTCAGCATCCCACAAGCTTATGCCAAGCCATCTATTTATAAAGTACGAAACATATGACAATTTTTAGGCATGATGGAATTTATCCATGGTGTTGGCAGATTTAAAACGTCCTTCCTGCCATTGGTTTCTATTATTTCAGTGTTGTTTTTGTATTATCCCTAACACATTTCTTGATAATTTATTTTTGAAGATATGGGCATGTTACACTTTCCCCACATACTTTGTGCTGTTAAATATTTGCAGAGAGATGAAAAGCTGGTGCAGACCAGGATGACAATAAAGCTGCAGCACAAGAACAATTTATCTCTCACCTTACTTCACATTTTTGCTTTCAATTTTTGAACCATATTTAAATGATAAATTATTTGCAAGGTGAAATGTGCACATAAATAGACACCCTTGATTTCATTAAATGCAGACACGGACAGAAGTTAAAAGATGCTGCATACCTCAAAGAGATGCTTGATCCCTCAAAATCCAAGAGGAATAAAAGCTCGCTTAAAATGAAAGTATTTTTAGGCCTTACTTGTCTGTGTTGATATTAACTCCCACTGGAACTATGTAGAGTTTTTGTTTGTAGAAACCTACTGGCACTTTGTAGTATTAAAGCATATCTGAGCATTTGCCCCTAAAAGGGTAACTTCTTGTGATCAGTTTTGTAGCTTTTGGGTGTACAAGTCATGAGAGCCGCTCTCCGAGCCAGGGGAGTCAGGCAGACATGGACCTTCCCTGAGGCTTCACCTTCCTGCTTGTGTCTCAAGCACTGACTGTCCACACCGTGGACAAGAAGGAGACAGAACAAATGCTTGGTACATCACCCATTTCCACGTAACCACCACCATGTTCCAGACAAAAACCACCACCAGAAAAGTAAGCTGGTTGTCTGACTGAAGTCATGATAGAAAAGTGTCTTTCAGGTAAAGATGAGGCTTCTTTTTAGAGTTCATGGAATTCTTAAAATCTTCTGTGCTTCAGAGATCTGTTTTAGAGCTAGCAGTACATATTTTCATGGGCTTTCTGCTGCTGCACTTGAATATTAGCTGCTGGATTTACTGAACAGTAAATAAGTTATGGCTCTGTGTCAAAGAATTATCAACGCTCCCCCTATAGATTTGCCTCACCAGAAGATCAATATATAGGACAATTCCAACCTCAAGAGATGCTACCAGGCATTTTCTGTCAGAGCTCATCTCATGGTACCCAGTTTCTTCCCTTCTGTTATTATGGAAAAAAAAAGACAGTTGAGAGGGCAGAGGCCTGACCTGGTTTTCCATGGAGATTGGGCACCAGAGTCCTGCTCTGCTCAGTCCTTGCGCAACTTCCTATCCCTGAGGACAGGTCTACATGGCCAGATGGCTGAACCCMCCCTCTGAGCTAGGGGAAAGCCAAGGCGGGTGCTGTGCAGCTCAGCCCCGTGCTGAGCCTGCTCAGAAATCCCAGCCAGGGAGAACTGGCCGAGACTTGTGGCATCTTGGATCTAACCTGGCCTGCACGCAGGCAGCAATGGGGATATCAGGCTGCCCTAGGACTGGCTCTGCCGACGCAAAATGACAGCGGCGTCCCACGGTGCAGGCACAGGGAGAGGGAGCAGTTCTGAAGAGTGTGAGGGATGAAAGCAGCACAAAAAGAGGGGGTGTTAACACCCACTGGCTGCCTAGTCCAGCTGGGGAGAAGTGACATGTCAGATCAYGGAGAGCTAAGAGCTGCCTGCAGGGAGCTGTTGTCTCCTGCCAGCACCCGCGTGGGCACCAGGCCTCCCCAGGCAGGTTGCTGGGGGCAGCTGGAGAGAGAATCCCTCCAAGTTCATCCCTGCCGCACTCATCCCAAAGCCTCTGCCTTCCATGAGGCCACGGCCTCGTCCTGGCTGCCTCCTGCCCCAAGAAGTGAGAGCAAAGTCTCACGCTGGACATTTCCCCACTTCGTTTAATTGCCAGCCATTTGACAAGACAGGAGGGCGCAGCTCCGAATGCACCTCCCTGCTGTCTCTGCAGTCCTGCATCCCTCTTGTAAGCGCAGAGAAACTAAGGAACCAGGGAAGACTGAGGAACCTCACTTGCTAGAGGGGAAAGAAGTCTGCCCTTCAGCTGGGCAGACTTCAGGCCCTGCTCTCCTGCAGACCCAGAAGCCTTGTGCACCTCCAGCTTGGGAGCGCTGCAAAGAGCGAGGTCTCACCCCTCTGCTTGCTGCCCTGTCCCCCCAGCACCAGCCCCGGACTCGAGGCCGGTGATCCCGGGCATGACTTGGTCCCCCTGGGCTTTAGGGGCTGAAGAAGCCCCTCTGACCGAGCCCACGGCCACGCACCCTGCTTCCAGCTCCCCACGGCGGGGCAACCGCCACCCCGCAGGGCAGCGGGGCGCTGCGGCGGGCGGCCCTACCTGGGCACGCGTGGCCGTGGTCGTGGCAGCAGTCCCCGGCGCGCCGGCAGCCCTCGTCGCAGAAGCACGTCCCGAAGGCGCCGTCCGCCCGCCAGCCCCGGCCGGCGCACGTCGCGTCCCGGCCCGGGCAGCACCTGGCGGCCGCCGAGCA